TAACACACTAATGTCTGGAAAAGGTTGCAATGTAAAACCTAGTGCCCGAAAGCCACATTTCAGGCTAGCCCCGCAATCACAGCGGGATCCAGGTATGGCCTCCAAAGCTACTGCTAAGCTGCGCATGGAGACTAGCTTAAGCAGCTTGTAGAAGAATCTTGACTGAAGAACACAATCATTTTGAATGTAGAAAAAAATGTCTAACAAGAAAACCAAAACGTTTTTCTCAGTAGAGAAAAGATGTCCATCCTCCTAGGACACTATCAAAAAAAAATGAGGCATGCTGGTAGTGGGAGGGGTTATTCCGGCCTGTTTGTTTGCCAATATCCAGTGGATATGTATGTACGGTATGTAGAAAAATCTACTTCTTACAGAAGAGCAAGTATAAAGCAAATAAAGAACAAGCTGATTCAGTGGGGTTGATTTACTAACCTTATAAACACGCCACGAACAAGTATACACCTCTGTAGTGTGTTCCCTCCCAGCATGATCTATTGGTGGAATCTAGACACCTTTGTAGTGTGTACACACCCAGCAGGCGTGTTGTGCAAAGCCCTGCATGACTTGCAAGGTGATGTTGTGTAAATTAGCTCTACATTGTGTTGCTTGCGTTGAATGCAGGAATGTAAATGCATGAGCTAACCATTTTTGTCTAAACTGTGAAGCAGCATTATATATGCATCATGTGCATGCTTTTTCCATATATGGCATTAGTGGAAATATGCTTTTAGAGACTTTTTGGTTAATAAATACGTTTTGCTGTGTAAAAATCACACGCACCTAGTGCGTGCGTGTGTTTAGGTTAGTAAATCATCCCCTGTATGTCAATAAAAAATCTTCATCACAGCATTAAATACAATTTTTTTTTTAAAGAGCATGATGCTACCTTTCCTTTCCATAGAACACAATATATTTCCTTATTACCTTTCCTTTCCATATAACACAATTGTTTCTGAGTCCTGTGTCTCTAAATGAATGAAAAATACATTTAATTTTTTGCCTCTGCTTTGGCAAACATTACCAAAAATACTGTAAAAAAATGTTACAGGCTCATATCAACAGGCTCCCTCCACATTGCCAATGAGAAGATTTACTATGCTTTGTATCAACAGAGAATGGTTATATCTTGTAAACACAGGAAAATAATGCACAAAAAAATACGGTTCTACTGAATGTATGGAAGATTTAATAAAGAACATCTCTGTAAACAGTCATATTATATTTTTAACCAACGTTCATTATGTATATGGTTGCTGTACAATATACCAATATGCTGTGAGCAATCTGACTGTTGAATAGAAAGTAAAAAAAATTGATTTTTTTATTTATCGCAAATTGTTTTTCCCTTGAGTTTATTAAGGAACACAGAGTTAATTCTCAGTGTAATACTGCTGCCTGTAGGAGATTGGACAGTAGGAAAAAACAGTTAGTTGGCCAGATGCAACTCCTCCCACTCTCATCGTGCACCAGTTTTGTGGAAAAGCAATAATAGAAGTGGCTCATAAAGAGAGGGGTGGGCCTGTGTCCCTTAATGAACTGCAAGAAAAAGATTTTTTAGGGTAGGTAAGAAAAACCTGTTTTCTTTATCATTCATTAGAGGACACAGGGTTAATTCTGAAACAAGAGGATTGTCCAAAAGTAGTCCAACTGAGGGGTAAGTAACACAGCAAACGAAACATTAAGAAGCCCTCCAACACAGCTCTTTTTGAGCTGTTAGATTTATGGTTCCTCACTGAGGGATGATGAACACCACACCTGTTAAATTGTCTAACTGAATCTGGGTCAGATTAACCTGCAATCAAGAGGTTCAGCACTGAAGGGATAATAACCAAATCGCTCCAGTATACTGATTGGAAGAAGAGCTTCCTCTGGCAGCCAAGTCAAAGTCAGTCCTCTAAAAGCATATTTTCTTCAGCCTGTTAGCTGGTGCCCATCGTAAGAATCTTTCAGACCAATGGAAGGAAAGATTTCCCAACTCCAGGGCTGGATTTGTTAGCAACCAGGCCAGGGATAATCTAGCCCTGGGTATCAGGTGCATGCAACTGTTCAGTGCTGATGCCTTCTTGTCCCATGCTGACAGAATGTTGAGCGGGAGAGTACCAGAACAGGACCCAGGGGACTTGCCTCATGCAGACAGCCGCTGTACCTTTTGGGACAGGGTTCCACCAGCGTGTGTAGTGAGGCCCTGGACTTATAAAGCACTCTGTAGCTGGCTCAGATAGTACACCAGGTCTCTGAAAAGAGCCGCAAGCATAGTCAAGTGTCCTAGAGACACATTACAGGCCAGGGCGCATCTTCAGGAATGCAGGTTCAAAGTACAGCATTTAAGGCTAAGGCTATGAACCACCCGATAACTACAAGAAATGTGCTCTCCTTCTCTGCTATAAGCAAAGAAGCTTGAATAAAAAAAAAAGGTCCAGTGGAAAGGGTTTGCTTCTCTTAGAGAGATAAGATGCCCATTAAACTAAGACACTAACATAAACTGGAGCATGATGGTAATGGAAGGGGTTAAATCTGGTTGACTAACAACCTTGTTAGCTAGTGTCCAGTGTTCTGTAGGCAGCAGTACAACACTCATCTCAGAAATAACCCTGTGTCCCCAATGAATGAGAAATAAAAAATGAAGATACATAATTGGGTCCAACATAGCAGCTTTAGGTAAAGGAAAATGAGGGCAAAAAAAAGTTAAAGTAAATTTGCAAAATGCTTCTGCATGCAGTACTTGTGTACACTGCTTATAGTTATTATCATACTCCATTTTGTCTTACAATGAATATAGCCACCACTACAGAGAAACTCAAAAAGCAAGAAGGACAGTCAGAATGGAGGAACCTGGGGATAAAACCATTTTTAGTTCTATTATTTTCCCAAAATAGTTCATATTCCGCCTGCTGCAACTGCTCCATCCTCCATATTGTTTGCAGCCAAGATAAATGTTTGTGAAATATTCTTTAAAAACGTTTTAAAGACTTCAGATGAGCTTCTGGTATGATTCGAAAATGTAGACGTATAAGGCCTTTGGCACGTGTTGATTTTTGCCCCATCTCTCTTTTGGTATATTCTTTATACAAACTAGAGGAGAAACACAAACCAGAGTAGGACACAGTGAACAGCTTATGGCCTTACTTCTGCTTTGCAGAGAAATACTCAAAGCTAGAATAGAACGATCTGCATTTGTCTAAGCTCTGGATTCTGCCTGAGCACCTGAGACCCATGAAAGGGAGTTCTGCACCCCTTCAAAGAGAATTAATGTGTTACTCTGCCTTCTCTCCTGAGATTTGTTTCACTGGAATGGAATGTGTGCTAATGCCTATTGTTTAGCCCTAGATAAATTCAAGAGCAGGGAATTTGGGTTCGGTGTTGCTGACACAGGTTTCCGGCTGCCATACAGATCCTGGTTTCACTGCTCAGTGAATATGCTGGTCCCAAGTCAGGAATTCACAGGGTACTAAAGGTACCAGGAAGACATTCTTAAATGGTAACTTCCATATTTCTGTCTTAATAGGTTCACCTTGAATGCCACATATAAAACATTAAATGTAGTTTTCTGATTGAAGACAAACATGAAAAGATGATCACAGCTTTGTAAATGTACATATAAAGTACATACTGAATAATGAGAGCTCTTCTTTAAGTTACACAACAGTATAAGTAATTTTCCAGGGTAACGGCTAATAATATTATTATGATATATTGTCTGCAGCAGTACAACACTTTACATAGAATGGGGACTCTGTACAAACATGATTAGTTTAATTGTTACATTATAAAAATACATTGCATGCAGTGTGATCACAGAAACAACTTATAGGAAAACTGCAAAAATATCCCTGAATGATTTCCATTTACAATTTGTGTCCTTTCCAGTACTAGCTGTTTAACCGAACGAATTAAACCAAAGACAGGCAAACAGAAGGGTACTGTGAAATTGTAACATTATACAGAATATGGTGTATACAGCAGACTTTTCATCCATGAACACATGTGCAAAATTATGGTTGCTTACACTGTGATGCCATGCTACTAGACAATTAAGTTCTAAAATGCTTCAAGTGATTTACTCTTGATGAAACAGTTGTGCTGCTCCCTTCAGGTCCACCTTGTGGAACTTAGTGCCAAACTGAAGAAAGTCAGCCATTGTTTACATTGCAGCCAGTCAAGACCCCCTCTCATGTGAGTCTCCATCTTTCTTGGCTATCAACCCCTTGAATTCCATTTAGTTCAGTATTAGCCAGCCAGACAGTATACATTCCGTGCTTTTAAACTTACTGGCTCACAATTATAGCTTTACAACCTACCATCATTTTTTCAAAAATGCCCATTTCAGATTTTCTAAATACATTGGATAATTTATTTTCCAAGACTTGACCAATACCCGCACAATATATGGGGAAGACACCTGAAAACCTTAAGCAGATGGATGATGTGTATAAAGATTCTGTCTATAATTTTCTACTGAACTGTCACCATCTATATTGTACTGGTAACTTACACCAGCAGCACCGGTTAAGATAATATCATATCAGTTAATTTGCAGTATACATTATGTTTTTTTGTAATTATTGTTTTAAAGTGACCTCCATCATAAAAATAAAGTATTATAAGGCAGTGCTTTTAGATTGACTTTGAAAACAGCATATTTCTCAATATTGCATGGTGAAACAGATTCTTAAAGTGACCAATGGTGCATGTTTGACTGTCATTTGTTGTGATTAAAACAGTGCAAACACAACTGGCTACAGATAGGCCCACAAAGCCAAATTATTCAGTGTACCCACAATCCAATTTTAAAATTTTCCCTGTGTTTATAAGCACAGAAGAGTTTTAGGAGAGATCATAAATACAATTTCAATATATACCATATCTACTGTGTCTTACAATGTAATATTTGCCAGTGCCCTGGCTTGTAGGTGGGTTAGATCATTTCACCTTGGTACCAAGATGCTTCAGCGGTATTCAGAACAAGTTTTCCAAAGCCATGAAAATGATAAGGAATAGGTCGGAAGAGTTCCTTGTGCCCCCCTTTCAGTGCTGTAAAGTACAGAAGTATTGGCTTGTGTTGCTTAGATCTGCGGAGAGGGGACAGTCAGTAGACCAGTTGGCTTCATCTTGTTAATTCCACCATCCAGAATACAAACTCGAGGATATCCCAATTTCACAAGATGTGCTGCAAACTGTAGGAAAAACAATATAAAAACTGCAGTTATAATTTTGAGATGTGCAACTTGCATTACAATGGGATTATCCAAATGTATTTCAGGGTTTAGCTTCTGCTGTTTTCATACAATACAAAATTTCAAATGACCCCAAATGACTAGTTTATTAACATTTGGCTACACGCGTATTTGTTCAAAGACCACACGTATTTGTTCAAAGACCGAATTTGATCACCCATGCAGTATCCTATGAGCATGGACTTTCTGAACTAACAACGGAGAGTAAAGCAGATATGAAAGAAGATTTCCAGGCTAGCTTTGTCCAGTTGGAGATCTCTATAAAATTGTCAGTGCCAGCAAACAAACTAATAGACTGCGGTCACAACCTGTTTAGCAGACAGGTAAATAAATATAATCAGTTTCTACAAAAAGGAGCACCACACAAACAGCAGCAATATGCGATTATATAAAATAATTTAACACAGAGTCAATAATGTATTATTGCTGTAGTACATTGAGCTCTTTCTGTCCTGGTGATATTAGTCGCATAGACAGCAAAAATAGTGTGACCAAGGTTCTAACCTTTCTCCATAGTGCTCAAGAAATGGTTTGGATGGGGTTTCATTTTAATGAGCTCAAATAATGACAATGGAATCTGCTTTTGTCAGTTCAAAAGTGACTGAGGCAGCAACAGTAGTGAATTTAAAATGTCCATCTTGCAATGTTACAAAGGGGGTTATTCACAAGAGTTTGGAGAAGGCAGGAGAAATGAACACTCTAGGACAACATAGCTGAACTAGAAAGTGAGCGGAATTGGAGAATTTTTCCAAATCCGCTATTTTGGCCTAAATTGTTCACTTCTCCTGCCTTCTCCAAACTCTTCACCCTTTTGTGAATAACCCCCAAATTGTACGTAAAAAGTAGAAATGTAGTAAGTTTTTATGAAATGTAAATGGTTGTTGGGGAAAAATATATTAGGTAGCTCATAGAATTTTAAAATAACATCCTGCACACAGTACATGCATGAGGCATGAAAAAATATAATATAGAGGCAGTCAGAAAGCAGGTCATAGGTATGCAGTGGAATGTGTAGGCAAGCATCTGCTTCATAAGTGCCAATATAGCAACTGGCTACAGTATAGCTCATACATTTCTACAGAAGGTGCAAACAGATTTGCAAGTAGACCAGCGACACAGGATCTAAATAAATGCAGCTTAGGCAGCTGTCAGGCTTCTCACACTGTGTCCTTTGTAAAGTCACAAAGTAATCACACCCTATGAGTATGTTATAGTCTTGGAATCTGTTCTTTATAGTAATGCTTTAGGGAAAGATTTAATCTTCCACCAACGTGGCTCAACCAATTTTGTGAATGTCAGCAATGTATGTATGGTTATAGTAAGATGAATGAACTGTAGTTTAACTGTTTAAAGCAAGAGAATGACCAATTGTAGACTTCAGAAATTAGAACACAGAATACAATGTTTACCAAAGCATGAAAACAGAGACTACAGCCAATCACTGATAAACCCTGGCAAACTTTAGGCTTATAATGCCAGAAAAAGACGTATGGGAATATGTTAGGTGATTTAAATACTGCTAACCACCCTTCTAATGCTGGACATACCCAGGACATCTTTAACTCTATGGGCAGGTAATGGTTACAAGTGAGCATTGCGCTGGGTGAAGACATCTTCTGATGTGCTGGAAAATTTGTCATTTGAAAGACTAAAGTTACAGATTAAAAATGTTAATTATCTCTCTTGCTGAGCTGATCCTTCCCCTTCAAAGAGTTAAGAAAGCAGATAGCATGGGTGGGTTCAGATTGCTCATATTACTTGGGATACAGTGGAAGTGTTTAAGGGCCATACAGTACTGTATATACTGAATGTACTGATAATGCCTTTTGGAAATTGCACGTACATGCAGTTGTTACAACATCTAAATGAATATCTTGAAGCGGCAGAGGCCACACATCAGTTGATTTGTTGCAAGACAAGGCCTACACGATCTGTGTCTACAGATCATTTGTACATAAACATTAGCTTTATACCCTCATTGATTTTGCTTTAACACTTTGAACAGACTACAGAACACAACACTCTTACCCTAAACACAAATTTGGCTATCATGGGTGCTATTTCTTTTCAACCAACAAAGTTGAAAATGAATCTGAAAATGAGATTAACACAAGAAAAATGGGAATGGGAAACAAAATGGGAATACACAACAGAATCCCACCATCAACATAAGCTCGGAGTGTTTGCATTGGCATTTCCTGTGTCAATTAACAATTTGACACCTACCATTCAGATTTGATTATTCTTCTCAGGATAAAATGCGCTTGGTATTCCTGTAAGTACTTCTGCTTCAGGCCTAGGCATTTGTCAGCATGAGCACCTAGCAATTACTTTGCTTTATGTCTTAATTGTTTCCAGACAAGAAAATTGATTGATCAAAGAAGCACTGACTATTATAGGTGACAGTTCATAAGAAGGCCATTTCATGACAAGAGCAAGCAAAGGTGTGATGAGTATTCACTCTGCCGCCTTTATGTGTGAGGATTGAGTTGAATCTGCAGCATCTACTATGACACCACAACATTGACAATATAAAACAGGGGATGGAGCATCTATGTCATGAGAATAATCTCCAGTTTTACTAAATACATTTACGCTTAACTCAATTCTTCCCATCCTCCTCTTCTATGTCACCATTAGCTCATAACTTCTGCAGAAAGCAGTAAATATAACTGCATAAAGAAAACAAATCACCTGTAGATGGAGGGCTGTGATCTGGAGGCCTGTTGAAGAACATGAAATCTAAGATCCTGAGGGGGAGATTAACATGAGGTTGGGCTGAGTGACAGATGAGCTGCATGGTGTCAGTGGTAGTAGCTGGTAGTTTTTCAATGCTAATTGCTAGACAACTGGAGCATGGCCAGAAATGAAACGTGGTGTTCTGAACTTATTAAGGTACATGTGTTATATGGCTGTTTAATGTTCATTGAGAAATTCTTGGGTGAATTCACTTTAATGCTTTGTGTGCATTACACATGGAGACATGTGAGTGGTAAAAAGAGCGCTTTATTCTTCTCCAACTCATTGCCCATGCTACTATTTCACACAGGTCAGTAACATCCTATAAGGCCAGTTTTCTTGTAAACACTAGCTACAGGTCCTAACATAATTATGATACCCTGGCCCTAAAACCTTCTAGTCAGTTTTGCAGATGTGCTTATATATGATTTATGATCAGTATATTTCTTTCTTTTAATAATGCATATTCACAATCAGATGAAATAACGAGCTGTACTTGGATGGAGATGCCTGAAGAAGCCTTGTAAACAATAATAATTTAAGATATTGCATATGAAGATGAGCATATGGTAATATTTCAGACTAGATCTGGATC